CAAGGGGAAAGCCTGGGAAAGCTGCAAGCCAGGGTGGGACAGGAATATTTTTGGATGTGATATTGTTCCTCRTTCTTAAGCTGAACAATAAATCTGTCTCCAGAGGGGCTTAGGCRCAGTAACAAATCTCTCCGGGGCTGGAGCAAGCAGCCTTTTCCAGCATTAACATCCTCAGAGCATCACACAACAGCAGCAGAACTTGTCCTCACATCACCCCTGGGAAGGGGGAGCTGTTGATTCTTGTGCAGGTAACAGGGCCCCAGAGAAAATTCAGTGTATCACTCAAACTCGTGTATCAGACCTCTGGCTCTCTCAGCCAGGACCAGGTGTCCTGGTGTTGCTTACTGATAAACTAGACCCAACCGTGGTTCTGTAGTTTTAAGGTTAAAAAAATAGACTTGAATTGAGAGCAAAATTAGAGCAGAGATTCTGCTCCACATCTGGAGATTTAAAGTAATCCCAAGATTTTTAATTCATGAGTATAAGCCAGCCTTTGCTCTTCTTCTGCACGTTCTCCTTGCCCAAGGGACAGAAACYGGGAAYAAATCCGTTCCAAAATCCCTGCTCTGCCAATTGACTTAGTGACAGAAATCCTCTGGAGACCAGGCAGAGGGGTTCTCCACTGGCAGATCTGTACAGCCTGGAGCCTTTTTTGGGAGCTGCTCAAAGCCCTCGCTGTGACCCATTCCCACTGTGCCACACAGGGAAATCCAATTTTCACAGAGCAGCCTCCTGTGCARCTGCCAGCTCTCCCACTGCYGCTTGTTTTCAAACRGGAAACATTTCCAAGGCAAGCCAAATACTTTCCAATACATTAAACCAGTTKCTGAAAAACTCCAGGAGCAGGATTGTGAAATATATTATCTCAGATTAAATGGCAGCAGCATGTTCCTGCATTCAGTCTGTGCTGCTCCTCATACATCACCCACATCTTTGCTGCCAGCTAGGAAACMGAGTGYATTTCTGCACTTGAAACCAAGCAAAAAAAAGCCATGAGGAGTTATTTTTCCCTCAGAAATTCAATTGCCTCCAGAGAGAACAGGAGAAACTGCACTTTGATCTGTCTTTAATTAGTATATGGGCTGTTTGGGATCGTTTGAGGTCTCCCTCAATTAATAGCCACTTCATTTGGAGAGTTTTTTTTTTTTTTCTGGAAGCAGAGGCACTACTCAAAGTAGTGGAACACCTTGGCTAATATAACATCACACAGCCAGTGGGATATTATTTTTTTTTAGTAGCAATTGCTAAACACGGGCCACACACATGCTGTTTTCCACTCTGTCACACTTGGACCTGTGCTTTCTCGCCTGACAACCAAAAAGCTGGATCCAGCTCAGAACTGGTTTAACAAACATAACTAATCACTCTACAAAGGCTTGTTTGTAATCCATCCCTCATGATCACACCCAAAGAAACAAAAAAAACCCCAGGTTTTGGTGCCAGCCAAGTCTCTCATACCTTTCCAGCAGGATTCAAAGTGGTCTTGAAGAGAGATTATATAGCTCTCATACTGTAAGGAAAGGGGATCCTTTGGGATGCCTCACATGGATGTCTGAGGGCCAGCCTGGACCAACATTGTTGTTTCTATATTAGTAAAGTCAATATTTAGGCATTCTGGGGTTAAAAGGTTGGAATGGAGCAAAAATGTTGCCTCCAGAAAACCTTGTCCATGCTCTCGCATCCCTGCAGCTGGTCTCACCTCCAACTCAGAACATGAACTCAAATCTTCTCAGAAAATTCAGCATTTTCTGTCACAAGGGGTTCTGGACACAATTGGGGTAATTCTCCACCACGGGTTTGGAAAGGCTCATTATGCTGAGTTAAAATTAGGGCAATTATTGAATCCATTTGATTACCAGTTTGACGTGATTTAGGAGATATATCTCCTGAATAAACACTTTCCAAATTTCTATTTCAATTACTCTTACATTTGTGGTTGGAAACTACATATGTACTTTGTGGTGAGATGCTGAGGCATGAAATAATACATCCCCAGAAAAGAGAGATACCCTGATAAGAAGAACAATAATAATAACAAGCATGAGTCATTGAAAAATGAAGGGAGGCACAATTTACAATTTAAGTTAATGGCTTCCTTGAGAGGGATTAGCCAGAAAGGTGCTGATGTTCCCAAAGAACAAATGTGGTTTGAGGTGAATACAGTTTCTCAAAGTAAAAGATGACTGTTCATCTTCTGGCATGGGGAAAATCATGCATCAAGACCAGAAAAGAGCATAAGTCAGAATTTGTGCTGAAAGTTTCCCAGAATTCACAATTCTGTTCATTTAAATGATTCATTGAATGCTTTAAAAACAAGGTTAAGGTCTTAAATTTAAAATGGCTTTGCAGATTTACT